GACCATATTGAAGAGATTTTAAGGTTGATCTCATCAGAAGACGATAGCCGATTCCCGTTGTACCTGTAACTGTTTGGCCTTAATATGACATTCATGTCAGTGCAGTCAACGAGACATCCTCCTCCGTTTCTGATAAAACGGGCTGAGCTTTCGTCCATCATCAGAGCTGGAACTCATTATTGCAAAAGTTTTAAGTTTACACCATGTCTTCTCGAGCTTCGAATCTTTCCATCATACCTTTTCATATGATATGAAAGTCTCCAACTAATAATTTTATTTATCGCCCCCAAATCAAGTTGTCGTCTCTCCATTCCACTTTAGAGGGTCACTTTTCACATGCCCTATCAATATGTCGCTCTTTTTTGCTACCTAGAGTCTTTTGTAACTAAATTTTGTACATTGCTAAATAATTTGAACTTCTCTACTTGTTGCAGCTACTGGAAAATCTACTCACCCACTGGACATGGCTTACTTACGGATTACCGATCCCGCAGCAATCTTTCTCTACTAAAAGCCCGGTTTCCTCTTCTCGTGTAATTCCGTCTACACTGATACAAGCACCTTCTTCAGTTTCATCCGGTTCGGTGGCTTTTAAGAAAGCTTCTGGGGATGGCTATAATTTAGCTAGTGCCGAGGAGTACGCTCGCAATTTTCTCGCTTCTTCGATAGACTCAAATGACATTCATACTACTCTCTGTGACCCTCAGTCGCACTTACATCAACAGCCACAACACCAGTCAAGGCTACATAAATCTACCAGATCGTGTCAAAAGGACCCTGGCTATTTTCCGGAGCTTTCAGTTTCTGAATCATCTGCATCTGGCATCCAAGGCGTAGCTGTTGCTTCATCCCAGTTTCCACCCCTTTTTAATCCTATCGCTCCGAATTCTATCATATCTTTTGACTTTATTACTCCTCAGTCTACCCTATATCGTTCAAAAGTCACTGAAGCAGCCAGAGGGGGAAAGGAATGCGATGGACTAAAGGCTATCCGAGCTACCTCTGCCGCCACTTCCTCATGCCATCAAAGTGATCGACATGAAGAAGGGAATGCGGATTTAAAAAAGGATGAACCGGTGATAATCAGAAGATCAGAATGTCTCGAAGAAGAACGGATAGGAGTAGGAGACGACAAAACTGATCCGATGATAGCAAAAGAAAGTCTGATAAAGACGCACGAAGGTCATGAGTCAGCCTCAAAAAGCCTACCAGTTGTTGAGTCGGAAATAAATTCGAAATTCCGCCATGACTTGGCTCTGCAGGCTAAACCTTGTTTCACAGTCGACGTCACCACTTGTAAATTTTCCTTTTTCATGACTCATTAATTTGTTATGCTTTTACTGTTTTATATTTTGCAGTGTATGCAGACGGCAAACTTTGTGCAAAACCATTTTCAACTTTAGAAGTGGGTTGATCTCATTTTCGCAACTTAGTCTTGCCAGAGAGACTTAGTAGAACGCATCTTGTCCGAAGTCGTCTGCCATAGTAGTTATCATTATTCCTAGCATCTGACCGCGAACTTGGTACATTCTCTCTCTGACATTTACTCAAGCAGAGGACTTCGGACAAGGTGCGTTTTGCTAAGTCGCCCTGACAACAGGACTAAGTTGCGAGAACGAGGTCAGCCCACTTGTATAAATCGAAAGGAAACGGCCACCATTCCGGGGGCTACACCATCTTAGTCTTCATATCTTTCATTTCCAGCTTTGTTTGTATTCGCATCTAAGTGGTTAATTTTCTCGATATTGACTAGTGATCAAATACACGCACGACTATCTAGCCTAGAGTATGCCACAATTAGCCTATTCTCAAGTGCATCAATATAAACTAGAAGATTACCATTTACTTCTTCCTACCTTAAACGGGTGACTCGTATATCGGAGGCAATCAGATGAAAGTGCCTAAGTCTGGTGTAGATTAAATTGTTCTATTTTAATAAGCAAGTCAATTTCTTAATCTATTAATTGCCATTTGTTTGTTTGATATTGTGTATGAATGTATATTTCCATTGCTTTAAGCTTTTGGTTAGTTATAAGCCGCAGTGGTAGAGAATTCATAGACTGTACAGATTTGTATGGACAATATATCCAATTCTCCTTCAATAATATATTATTTGAAATAATTTTTGGCTGATACATTCAGGCTTCATATAGAT